GTTCTTTTTATCATTTCTGTTCTGATGATTCGTGTGTGTTTAGTGAATTTCAGTTTGTGGTCTATTGTAATCCCAAGGTACCTTACGTCGTTTTTCGGTTGTGTTATTTTTCCGTCTGCAGTTATTGTGGGGGAGTCAGCGTTGAGTCTGTGGTTCGTGAGCAGAAGTTGATTTTTTGTCGCGTTTGGCGTTAGTCTCCATTTATAAAACCATGTCATTGTGTTGTTTGTTAGTGTTTGGAGTCTTTCAGTCGCTTTTTCAGTAGTTTTGTCGTGTACAACAAGTGCCGTGTCGTCAGCGTATTGTAATATGTATGCCGTTCTGTCGATTTGATTTTTGTCTGGTAAGTTGTAATTGTATATGTCATGGCAGTATATACTGTAGAGAAAGGGTGAGAGCGGGGATCCTTGAGGGAGCCCTTGTTAAGTGGCAAGAAAATAGAAATATTTTTTTTCGCAAAAACTATGGATGTTACAAAGAGCTCAAAATTGTGAATAAATGATTAGTGCATCCAACCCACAAAAATTAGTTGATTTCATCCACCAAATAAAAAGTTCTGGTAGTTTTTGTAACACGACACTCAATAATTCACCTCTTGTCCAAAACGGATGAACTCCATTGTTTCATCAAAATATGAGTCCTACATAAGAACAAATTCATGGCGAGTTTCACTAAAATACATCGTACAATTCTTCCGATATTTCAAAAAATATATTTTGTTTTAAGAACTTTGACTATCAATAGCACATTTTTTGATAATAAAAGTTAGGTCAGATCGTTTTTTGATGCAAAGAATATCGCAGTATCCTTTTGATCATGTGCTTACTCTTTTTACTTATTCTTTACATAGTACCAAGCAAATATGTTTTTTTCTGATTGCACTCTAAGATGCCCCCCAGAAAATCTACAATATTTTCTTCTTAAGTAAATATTTCATATAGAATGGGCCCATCTCTGATAATTCACTTTTTCCCGCTGGGTCGAGAGCTAAGTAGAACACAATTAAATATGTAGAACGACAGTGACAAAAGCACATCAAACATCTATTAAAATAACCTGAAAGCTAAATATAGGGACCGGAAATAAAATAATTCATTGGCAACTGTGAATATTTCCAATGTATTGGAAATATTCAGATTTAGTACATAATTATTCCGGTAAGGTTTTATTAATTCAACTCTCTTTCACAGTTTTAGAATATACGAAATAATTACTAACGTACCAAACCACAAATAAAATAATTCTATTATTGCCCAATTAAGAATTAATTACATAATTCATTAATAAGTTGTTTGACTTAACCCTATTAGACTTTCTTGAAGTTACAATATAGATAAGTCTGAATCACTACGGCAGCAACGATGCAAGCTCTGCAAGACCACATAAAAGCTGTTATTCCTTGCAAACAGGAAGAAAATATGCAAAACAAAGTCAATCCAATGATCTTAAGAATCGAGGAGGACATTTGTCCGTTTTAGTATGCATAAGCTGGTGTTATGCAAGGCCTAAACGAGATATATTTTGTTGTGTACTAGTTTATCTCGATAGATCGCTGACTTCTGCAGTGGTATTTGGCGTCTGATGTACGAAATACCGTCTATTCAGGTTAACATTGTTGCATGCTGATATGAAACTTCAATAACTCTTAACAAGGCACTTTCTCAATGTCGCTGATCCAGAAGGAGTATTAGGGGCAAATTGTAAACCGAAACAAGAGAAAATATTTTTCTGGGTTCAGATGTAAATTGGGAGATACTTTGGATGAGTGAGTCCGAAGAAAACATGGTTACAAATAGTTTTTTTATTATATTAAATAGCGAATAGAAATACTCTACAGGGCGATTCAAAATTGGCGTCATTCCTTTTAAGGCGTAATAGGGGCTCACTTGGACGGTGCGAGAAAAATATTGAAAGAATATAGAAGATATTAACAGTTGAAAATCGAATTTCAACTTTGTTATTAAGCATTATTTTGAAAGTGTTTAATAGGAAGCATATTGGAATACTCAAGCATTCAAAAAGAAAATTTACAAGATTTGCTAAGATAACAAAAATTTTTGATATTCAAAAAGTTCTCTTCTACAATTTTTTCATGAAAAGTCAAAGCGGCAATAATGTTTTTTGTCATTAACAGATAGTTACAGGTGGAGATCCCTTGTCAATAAAAACAATAATTTGTCAAACTGTGACTTACTTTGAATTTTCTTTCACGAATTTGCGTATATGCGATTAGTT